TACGCCTAGGTGTAGTATTTTTGGCAGTATTTATCCTGCTTGGTGTACTGTGAGCTTCCTTGGTCTGTAGTTTGGTGTCTGGCGTTAATTTGGGGAAATTCTCGGTCATTATCGTTTCAAATATTTTTTCTGTTCCTTTCTCTCTCCTTCTGATATTCCCATTATGTATATAGTGTATATTATACCTTTTGTAGTTGTCCCACCATGCTTGGATATTTTGTTCTGATTTTTTCAGTCTCTGTCCTCTTTGCTTTTCAAGGATTCTATTAATGTATCCTCTAGCTCGGAGATTCTTTCCTCACCTGTGTCCAGTCTACTAATAAGCCCATTGAAGGCATTCTTCATTTCTGTTACAATATTTTTTATCTCTAGCATTTCTTTTTGGTTCTTTCTTAGGATTTCCATCTCTCTGCTTACATTGCCCATCTGTTCTTGCAGGCTGTCTACTTTATGCATTGAATCCCTTAGCATAGTAATCATAGTTGTCTTAAATTCTCAGTCTGATAATCCCAACATCTGCCATGTCTGGTTCTGATGCTTCCTCTGTCCCTTCAAATTTTGTTGTTGCCTTTTGGTATGCCTTGTAACTTTTTCTTGATAGCTTGACAAGATGACCCAGGTAGAAGGAACTGCTATAGATAGGGCTTTAGTAGTGTGGTGCTGAGGTGTGGAGAGAGGGGAAGTGTTCTACAGTCCTGTGATTACAGGACTCACAGGAGTGAGTCTCAGCCTTTTAGTGAGCTTATGCCTCTGGACTGTGAATTTCACAAGAGTTTCTCAGTTTTTTTCTCCCCTCTTAGGTGGATCAGGATGGCTAGACTGGGCTAGTGTTTGGTATTTCCCTTTCCCCAGGTTAGTTAGGCTCTAGTTAACTTGTCTCCCCTGAGGGCAGGCCTTGTTAGGAATTGAGTGCTCTGGCATATTTCAAAATGGTTGCTTTTTCCTCCCCTTTACCAGAAGCACAGGAGATTTTTCTCTGATATTTACTGTGGGAACCCCTGGTTGAGTTCCTGGAGGTAAATCTCACAATATAGCGGGGGCCTCCCTATGACTGCATCCCCCTCGAGTTTTTAACTTTCAGATTTGTCCACACTGAGCCTCTAGCAATTCATCAATTACAGTTCAGGTTTTCCAACCTCAACACTGGTTCCCACAGCTGTTAATGCTTATGAGTCACTGCTCCAGTAAGCCATGTTTGGCTTACTGTACTTGCCTGTTTGTTTCTCCAATCTTGGGGGCAGTAGTTTGCCCTGTGTACTCCCGTCTCTTACAGATCCAAGAAAGGTTGATTTTTCCATCTGTTCAGCTTTTTACTTGTTGTTAGGACACAGTAGTGACTTCCAAGCTCCTTACATGTGGAACCAGAAACCAGAAGTGAAATGCGTAGTTTTAAGTAAAAGAAAAATAAATCATGAATCATCTCAATAGATGCAGAAAAAAAATTTTGATGAGATCCAACATCCATTTATAACAAAAACCCTCAACAAATTAGGAATAGACAAGAACTTCTTTAAACCTGATAAAGGGCATCTATGAAAAACCTATAGCTAACATCATATTTAATGGTGAAATATGCTTTCCCGCTAAGATCAGGAACAGATAAGACTGGACCTTCTTCTCACCACTTCTATCTGCCATTGTACTGGAGATTCTAGCCAAGGCAATTTGTCAAGAAAAAGAAATAAAAGGCATCCAGGTTGAAATTAAGAAGTAAAACTGTCTTTATTCACAAATAACATGAATCTTATATATATAGAAAATCCTAAGGAACTCACTGAAAAAACTACTAGAATAAACAAGTTCAGCGAGGTCACAGGATACAAGAGCAACATACAAAATCAATTGTATTTCTATATACTAGCAACAAACAATGCAAAAATGAAGTTAAGAAAACAATTCCATTCTCAATAGCATAAAAAAGAATAAAATACTTAGGAATAAATTTAACAAAAAAGTGCAATACTTGTACACTGAATTCACTATAAAATATTATTGAAGGAAATTTTGAAAGATGTAAATAAATGGAAAGATATCCCATGTTCATAGATCGAAAGACTTAATATCATTATGATGGCACTACTCCCCCAAAGTGATCTAGAGATTCAACACAATCACTATCAAAATCCGAGCTAACTTTTTTACAGAAATTGACCAGATGATCCTAAAATTCTTATGGAAATGCAAAAGATCCAGAATAGCCAAAACAATCTTGAAAAAGAGACAAAGCTGGAAGACTCACACTTCCTGATTTCAAAACACACTAGCAAAGCTACACTAATCAAGACACTGTGGTACCAGCATATAACGACTGACATATAAATCAATGAAATAGAATTGAGAATCCAAAAGTAAACTCAAACATTTATGGCCAACTGATTTTTAAGAAAGGTGACAGACAATTCAATGGGAAAATAATAATCTTTTCAATAAATAGTGCTGGAACAAATGAATATTCATATGCAAAATGCTGAATTTGGATGCTTTCCTCATAGCATACATAAAAATTAACTCAAAATGGATTATACACCTAAATTTAAGAGCTAAAATTATAAAATCCTTAGAAGAAAACATAGAAGTAAATCTTCGGCACCTCAGGTTAAGCAATGATTTCTTAGATACAACACCAAAAGCACACGAAACAAAAGAAAAAAATTGATAAATTGGACTTCATCAAAATCTTTTGCATTTCAAGAATAAATGAGTTCATTTTGATATTTCCAATTCAAATTTAAAATTACAGAGTTTCAACTTAGCTTACTTTATTTTGTAATTATATATCTTTTCTCTTACACTGAAACTCTTGGTTCCTAACATTATTATAATTACATGTTTTATCTTATTATAAATAGTGCTAAAACAACAATACCAATATTATTAATAACAAGATAACTGAATGCAATTTAAGATTCCTTTGCTGCTAGGATATAGCCCACTGACAAAGTACAGTCAAAATACTAAAATTTAAAGATACTAAAAATAATTCTTTGTGTGATTATGGCATGAACTTAATATAGTTAAGTTCATTTGTTTTCCATTTTTAAGAATGGCTTTGTTTTTTCTTTTTGATCTAATTTTGTTTCATAATTATATAAAACACTTACATGGTTCCAAACTATAAACAAGACACATTCAAATAAGTTTTCACTTTCATGGCTGTCCCCTCTACCCAGTTCCTTCCTTCCCCCTATTAGTAACCACTTTTATTAGTTTTTGGTTTATCTTTCTACTGTACTTTGAAAATGTAGGAAATACACACATATACTTCTATTTCCCCCATTCCTTCCATAAAAGATAGCATACTATACACTCTGTCCACATCTTGCTCTTTCACATAACGATATATCCTAGAGATCACTCTACAGCAGTTAGAGATCTTCCTCAAACCTTTTCATAATTGCATAGTAGTAATTCATTGTGCAGCTATACCATAGTTTATTCAACCAATCCCCCTCTGATGGACATTTAGATTGTTTTTGCATCTTGCTATTACAAATACTTTTGTAATAAATAGCCTTTTACATGCTTCATTTTGGATTTTTGCCAGTGAATTTTGAGGATAGAATCCTAGAAGTGGGATTGCTTATCAAAGGGTAAATCACACATAATTTTGCAAGATACAGCTAACTTCTCCATAGAGGATGTACCGTTTCGAAAAACCTTTTAACTGCTTTCATTCTTCCACTATTGCCCACCTACAACTCATTCTCCCTCATATCTTATAAAATCTTATAAAATACAAATTGGGTCATATTACTCTCCTCCTGAAAAGTTCTGTGGCTTCCCAGTGCATTTAGAATAAAATCCAATCTCTTCACAGTATCTATAAAAACTCAGATGATACAGATCTTGTGTCTCTGTATCAGTTAGGATTAAGTTTGGCTATGACCAAGAGACTCAAAATAACAATAGCTTAGATAAGATAGAAGTTTACTTCTCTGACACATAAGTCTGGAGGAAGACTGCCAAAGCTGGCACTGGGGTTCAGCTTCAAGAAGTCCTCAGGGCACAAACTCCTTCCATGCCATGCTCCGTCATCCCTAGGTCCTGACCCTCATCCCTGTGACCTAAAAGAGCAGCTATAGTACCAGTCATTTTATGTGTTCCAAGCAGCAAAGTTGAAAGAAGAATAAGAAAAAGGCCAGGAGTACACCCCCGCTATTTTTTAAGGAAGATTCCTGGAAGCTTTACATGACACTTGCATTTACATGCCATGGGTCAGAACTTATCATATGACTATACCTACCTATCAGGAAGGCCAGAAATGTCTTGATTCTGGGCAGCCACATGTCCAGCCAAAAACTGGGAGACATAACACCATGGAAAAAGTCCCTGCTGCACAACCTCTTCAGCTTCCTCTCCTACTCCACCTTTACTCACTATGCTCCAGCCACAGACTTCCTTTATTCCTCAAATAGGCCAAGCTCTTACCTAACTCCTGGCCTTTGCTGTGCAGTTTCACCCACCTAGCACAGCCTTCCTCAGATCTTCACACAGCCAGTTCCCTGTCACCGTTCAGGACTCAGCTCAAACGTCACTCCCTCAGAGAGACCTTCTTTGACAACTGTGTGTAAAGCAGGCCCCATCCCAGTCACCCTTTTTCATATTGCACCGCCTTATTTTCTTTATAGCATTTATCTCCATCTGAAATTATCGTTTGCCTTCCTCCACTAGCATATAATTTCCACAGGACAGGGATGTTTTTTTGTCTTCACTGCTAAATGCCTATTACAATATAACTCTAAGTGCACAGTAGGAGCTTAATATTAGTTGAATGAATGCATGTCCGACTCCAAACCCGCTGCTTTTTCCACTACCTCTGCTGTTCCTAATACATGTGAAATAATACCCATTCCAAAAGTTAATCTTTGTTTTTAGAATGACAGCCTATTAAAGTTACTCTCTTTCAAACAAGATTTTGAAAAACATTATTTCTAAAGTAAAACAAAATCTTCCTATGCTCAGTAAGTAAAAAGAAGAGATTTAGATACAACGTCTTGGGCAAGTCTCTTAAATTGCTTGACCTCATAGTTTTCATCTGTAAAATGGAAGAGTGGGTTAAAATTCATTCACTTAATCTACAGATATTTACCAAGCACTGTGCTAAAACAATATTAGGGACATGAAAGTTAAACAAGAAAATTTCTGCCCTCAAAAGAGGCTCACAGGTGCCTTTCAACTCTACAATTTGTACAATTCTATATAATTGTTGGTTTGTAACTTTTGTGCTAGAGAAAAAGCATAGGACTTCCCACTCCTGAGACATTAATTAAAAATCTGTCACCAAGACCCTGATAAACACACTGCTTCAGTTTAAAAGCGAATATTTAATTCAACATTGCAATAAGAATTGAAGAGTATTAAAAACAGAAGCATATTAGTGGCTTAAAAAATGTATATTAATCTTTAGTTTCCTTTGGAGAGGATTTTGATTGCCAGTTCTCTACAGCAAAATGATGCTAGGAAAATATCTTTAGAAGAGAGAAATTATCTCTGAATGCAAGTCTAAAATGCTTAACAGGGATTAAAAGTTTTAAAGACCCCAATCAAAAATACTCAATATTAATTTCATTTGAACCCTAAAAGTTTGACATAATAAACATTATATATTTTTTAGAAAGATGGCCAACAAATTAACAACTCAGCATTTTCTAGAGACTGGCATCCCAGATCATCATGACTATTACACGAGGACCTGGCTGTGGTTCATCCACTACCACCTTCTTTGTTCTTCTAGATCCTTCTTGGCTTTCATCTGGGCAACTCTAAAGGCACTGTAAGGAAAACAGATGTAGAGATAGATGCTCATTTCTCCTGCAGTCCCTCTCAGCATAAGAATTAGGCAAATAATCAGAGAGAAAAAGGTATATAATCCATAATTTATAGTCCCCACAAGGCCTCACTCAATTTGAAAAATTGCCAGTTCTGTCAAATATGCCAACACTCCAATAAGGTATTTATGACACAGAATCTGAAAAAAAAAAAAAAAAAGACAACATTTAAAGTAGAATTAATTATAACAAAGCAGTTTGATATTTGATATATTCCAGGCTTATTTTAAATTCCATATCTATAAGCTAAGATACAAATATGAACCCAAACCACCGCTGCTCTAAGTCAAATAGATTTTATTCAATGAAGACTACTAACTCTAATAAATTTACAACTATTAGTCAATGGTGCTTAGAAGTAAGTAGACAAGGGTTCTTATTTATCCTGGCTTCCATGGAATGACTATCTGCCTAAGGAGTGAGGGGAGGAAAGGGCATCTATCAACCCTTCAGACTTGTATGAAAATTGAGTATCTACATTGTCTAGAAAGAGGTTGCATAGCTTCCTTTTTCTCAAAGGGATATACAATTCCAAAAGTATCTTTTAGAAACTAAGCAGATGGCAGAAATCTGGTTAACACATTAATTTCAAACTTTAGAGAGGCAGTACAGTGTTGCAGTTAAAAGCACAAGCTTTTGAGTCAGATGACTGGGTTCAAATTCTGACCCCATTTATTAGCTGTGTGATCTTAGAGAACCTACTTATCCTCTGTGCTACAGTTTCCTCTTTACAACCTATATAAACAGGTTATTGCGAAAACTAAACAAAACAGTATACATAAAATGCTTAATACTGCCTGGCACAAGTTAGTGCTTAATAAATGTTAGCCATCATCATGGCATTATTTGAGCCTAGGAGCCACAGTTACTATCTTACATCATTAAGAGGCTCTTAGTTTTAGAATAGACCAGATAAAATAAATGTGTTTAAAACCACCCTAATATTCATAGATGGATAAGAACACATTATATAAAATAGTTTTGTTTTTTTTTTTATAATTTTTATTTATTTATTTTTTCCCCCAAAGCCCCAGTAGACAGTTGCATGTCATAGTTGCACAGCCTTCTAGTTGCTGTATGTGGGACGCGGCCTCAGCATGGCCGGAGAAGCGGTGTGTCGGTGCGCTCCCGGGATCCGAACCCGGGCCGCCAGCAGCGGAGCACGCGCAGCTAACCGCTGAGCCATGGGGCCGGCCCTAAAATAGTTTTTAAACGTAGTTTATTAATAGAGTGTGGGCATATAGAAATAAAATTTAAAAGTACATAAGGACTTCATGAACATTGAATTCTGAAGTGCTAAAATGTAAATATTTTTCTTTATGATGTCAAGGTAATATGGCATAGTATAATCTTTCAAATTTTTTACTGCAAACCATAGTAAGAAATAAATTTAACATCATGACCCAGTACAAGCAAATGTATATCCTTACCATATATGATAGCCTCTCATTTTTATATTTTCTATTCTATTTCTTTCTTTTGTTTTTTAAAACTGCTCTCTTCCCATAGAAATTATTTCCCAACCTACTGTGGCACTGTGACCTCCAGTTTGAAAAGCACTAATACAGTGCTTATATAGACAAAGTATGAACTTCTCAGAACCTAAGAGATAAGCGTTCAAATCTTGACTCCCCCTCTTACTAAGCTATCTTGTGTGTCACTTAAACCAATCTTGGCCTCAGTTTCCTTCTTCTAAAAATAAAATGTGGATAAAAACACCTAACTACAGAGTTGCTCTACAGATTAGAGTTAAGGTATATTTAACTTCTAGCACAGTGACAAGACCAATATTCAATGAGTGTTTATTTTAGCTGTATTTAGTATATTTTAAATATATTAATATATTTAAGTGCCTACTTTCAGTTTATTTCTGATACTTCCTTGGATAATGATTTCATACAGAGTAAAACAATGTCTCTATTATTTCTTTCCTATTAGGGATAGAAAAGCCTAAAATATAAAGACGATATTTTAGTTCTGTGTTTCTGGCTATAATTTTCTTATCTAACACACAAAACCCTCTGTTACTCTGATAATTATTTCCAAGTTTGACAACAAACAATTCTGAAAGTTTCAAAGTTACTACAGAATAATTCATATTATTACCAAAACTGTAGCACACAATGTATAGTATCCTTCCATTATAAAGCTGCATCTCGAAGGCTGAAGACTTTTCCGTGAATCATCCATAAAGCATAAAATAAAATCTCTCTACTGTCTTGAATTGGCAGACATTCAAAGGTGTTTCTTCAATGTGGAAGATACAATCACCATACATTTTGAAATCTATGCAACAATAAGGAAAAATTACTTAACTAGATTTGTTCAAACTAACCTTTATTTTTCCATCAGTATGTGCTGAAGCTACAGATGTTGAAACACGAACCAATCTTGTGGCTGATAAATGAATTTTGAAATGCCTATGGAAATGTGAATAAAGGCAGTCCATAAATAAGTCAACTTCCTCCTGAGTAACTTCCCCAGGTGTTGTGTGCACACTGTCCCACAAAGCTTTTGCATCCTCCGGATGTACGGCATAAGAAATGTCCAGACTTTGAGGGCTACAGGGTACAGACCAAAGAAATTCAGTAGTAGCCATATAATGGTCCATTTTGCATGCAGTCCACATAGCAGCCATCCAGGAAAGATTATAAGCATTGATTGCTAAGGGACTGAAATAACAGTCAAAAGTTTTCTGAAACCAGGTTCCAATTAGGGCTGTATTAGTCTCTGCTCCATTTGCAAGGAATAAGGGTAGACAGGTGAAATCTTCTGAAACAGTCTCCAGAAGACTGTCTCCAAATATACAGCAGAACCAACCAGTCCACAACACTTTGCCTTCTCTGTTCTCAGATGGCAATTGAGATTTTGACAGAATCTACAAAGAAAGAAAATAAAACAGGTTAATTAAGTTCAAAAGTACATTTCCTCCTAAATTACACAATTTCGAAATTAATTTGTACATTAAAAAATAAAATCTGTGGTATTACTTGCCAAAAAACACAGAGAAAATAGCCTCCCTAATCATTGTTAGAATTTATCATATTAATTGACCTTGGGCCGGACCCGTGGCTTAGCGGTAAAGTGCGCGCGCTCCGCTGCTGGCGGCCCGGGTTCGGATCCCGGGCGCGCAGCAACGCACCACTTCTCCGGCCATGCTGAGGCCTCGTCCCACATACAGCAACTAGAGGGATGTGCAACTATGACATACAGCTGCCTACTGGGGCTTTGGGGGAAAAAAATTAATAAATAAAATAAAAAATTAATTGACCTTTCCCCTAATATTCTTATAGCCTAGAGATATGGTATATGGTAAGATCTTGGTGCAACCAAAATGCAAAATAAGGGATGCCAATATGGCATAACCAGGTACAGTATCCCCCCCCACCAAAATCTCAAAATCTCAACTTTAGAAGGGACTGTAAAAGGTCACCAAATCCAATGTGCTTGAATTCTTCCACTGAGGAAGACTTCAAACATTTGATGATCCCTATGATATGTACTGCCAAGTTCAACATCTCCAGTTTCTTCAATCATTCCTCCTATGACATACATTCAAGTTCTCACACTATCCTGGTCACCCTTTTCTGAAATTCTTCTGCATGGTGCTCATTTATAACGGAACATAATTACTTCAAAAAACTCATTAATTACAAGACTGTCATCATCTTTAACCTAGATTATATACCTTTTAATATAATCCTAGAGTAGTTTTCCGGTTTTTTGGTGACAACTTTACATAAATTAGCCCTACATATTCATTTTCACTGGTAATAGGTAAATCCCCCCCAACCTACATTGAGGCAGTAAACTTATCCCTCTTAAAATTTTAATCTCTTTCAATTTGGCCCATTGTGCCAATACATTCAGCTCTTTTAGAAGCTTGATTATATTTTCCAGCAGAATGACTAACACTTCAAACTTTAAATGTGTAAATTACATGATAAACACACCTTCCAGATATTCATATAAGTTTTGTGTTTTGGGGCCAGCCCGGTGGCTTAGCGGTTAAGTGTGCGCGCTCCGCTACTGGCGGCCCGGGTTCGGATCCCAGGCGCGCACCGATGCACCACTTCTCCGGCCATGCTGAGGCCGTGTCCCACGTACAGCAACTAGAAGGATGTGCAACTATGACATACAACTATCTACTGGGGCTTTGGGGAAGAAAAAAAAAAAGGAGGAGGATTGGCAATAGATGTTAGCTCAGAGCCGGTCTTCCTCAGCAAACAGAGGAGAATTAGCACGGATGTTAGCTCAGGGCTGATCTCCCTCACAAAAAAAAAAAAAAGTTTTGAGTTTTGTTTTGTTTTGTTTTGTTTGGTGAAGAAGATCAGCCCTGAGCTAACATCCATGCCAATCCTCCTCTTTTTGCTGAGGAAGACTGGCCCTGGGCTAACATCCGTGCTCATCTTCCTCCACTTTTTATATGGGACGCCACCACAGCATGGCCTGACAAGCGGTGCCTCGGTGCGCACCTGGGATCCAAACCCAGGCCGCCAGCAGCAGAGTGCTCGCACTTAACCACTATGCCACGGGGCCGGCCCCTCATAGAAGTTTTAATTAAAGTTTGACCAGGACAAGGTAAAGATCACAGTCCAGTATCATATCCCTTTAGAAATGATCATTTAAATATTTATTTTTACCATATTTCTCCTTCTTGTTCAAGAGACTATAAGAGACTCTCAAATACCTTAAAGCCCAGATATATTACGTCTATTGCACTTTCATGACCCAAGAGTCCCATAACCCCGTCAAGAAATGAGATTTAATTTGAAAACTATTAGGACACTATACTAGGAATTCAACAGGTCACTACTATTCCTCACAAGAACATTTGCTTGCCTGATGACATACAAATCACATAACTGCTCTGGGCATCAACTACCTCACTTGACAGAGACTGCTAATTGCCTACCCAGTGTCTATTTTTCCTTCCACCATAAAACTGTGCTCTTACTAAAAAAGAAAAATTTTCTAATCTCCCTTCCTACTGGGATGTAAAGAGAAGTTGTTGGGTCTAAGCAAGTCTCATTAAAGATTTACGCAGGGACTGGCCCAGTGGCGCAAGCAGTTAAGTGCACGCGCTCCGCTGCAGCGGTCCGGGGTTGGCCAGTTCGGATCCCAGGTGCACACCAACACACCACTTGGCAAGCCATGCTCTGGCGGCGTCCCATATAAAGTGGAGGAAGATGGGCACGGTTGTTAGCCCAGGACCAGTCTTCCTCAGCAGAAAAAGAAGAGGATTGGCAGATGTTAGCACAGGGCCAATCTCACAAAATAAATAAATAAATAAATAAATAATTAAAAAAAAAAAAAAAGATTTACTCAGTGGTGGGCATCCTGTTTGCCCTTCCCATCTTCCTCCTACTTCCTGCCTGGAACTTGAATATAATATTTAGAGCTCCAGGAGCCATCTTAGACTATAAGGTGACCTCACAGATGGATGTCATGCACCAAGGATCATAGAGAAGATAGAAGGAGGCTAGATTATTAATAATTTCATGAAGCATATACCAGCCTTACACAGCTTACCTCCAGACACCTTTTTGTAATACAAAAAAAGCTCTATCTTGTTTAATCCTCTGTTATTTAGGCTTTCTGTTATATGTACCAGAACCTAATCCTAGGAATCCTGAGATCCTTGTCAATACCAGGATCTATACCAAACTTTTACCAAAGTTTTCAGCAAACTTTTTCTATAAAGGGCCAGATAGTAAATATTTTATAGGCTTTGCAAGCCATATATGGTCTCTGTAGCAACTACTCAACTCTGCTCCTGTAGCACAAAAGCAGCCACAGACAATATGAAACAAGCTAAAGGGGCTCTGTTCCAATAAAAAAACCTTATTTACAAAAACAAGCAATGGGTCAGATTTGGCCATAGTTTGCTGACCCCTGATCTATACAAATAAACAAGGAGAGTGACGTCAGCATCACAGTAGAGTGAGAGGTTCCCTTCATCTCTCCCCTCTGAATTACAACCAAACGGACATCCATTGACCAACAAAAGGTTCCCTACACAGCACAAGTGGATGCCTAAGAGACAAGGCAGCTATACATCTGAAGGTAGGGGGACTGGATCCCGTGAAGAACTGGACTATGGGAGCAGGTCCCCCCACCACTCCCAGCAGTAGTGATTCAGGACTCTGATCCTCACGCAGCGACCTGCACGACTGAGCGGAGGTGAGGGCAGCCCAGCCCCAGGCACCCAAACATTGGTGGGGCGGCAGCAGACCCACATGCATGCAAATGCCCAAGGAGAGGTGGCAGAAGCCAGTGGTAACCCCACATGCACAAATGCCCCCAGGACAGCAGAGAAGGCTGGTGGCAGCCCTGTGAATGAAAACACCCAAGGGGCAGCAGCAGCGGCCCCACCCTGCAACAGTCAACAGTCCCTGGAGCCCCAGCAGAGGCAGTGGCCCAACTTGCACAACTGTAAGCAGACAGGGTGGGAGCACCCAGCCCCCAGCAGCCGCACACCCAACACCAACTCACCAGCAGCAGGGGCTGCATACAAGAACTCGGGCACCTGGGCCCCCACCAGCGACAGTGACACCCATGAACCCAGCACCCCTGGCAGTGGTGCAATGAACACCCCCAGACAACTGGGGAACAGCAACACAAGTGGTGCACAGGAAAACAGCATCCGAGACCATGGAGAGCCAGTGGAGGAACACAGGACTGAAGCAACAAGAATCAAAGTAACCAAAGCCATACCCAAATAAGAGAAGGTGATTACTACCACAATTACAGTGGCAGAGGATCAATTCATCAAACACCACGAAGAACTGCAGTAACACTGCAAAACAGAAGGAAAATAGCAACTTTCCAGAAACCAAATCTGAAGTCACAAAAGTTTACAATCTAACTGACAGCGAATTCAAAACAGCAGTCATAAAGAAACTCAACAGTTACAAGAAAACTCAGAAAGACAGTTCAATCAGCTGAGGAATAAAATTAATGAACAGAAGGAATACTTCACCAAAGAGATTGAAGTTCTAAAAAAAAAAACCAAACAAATTCTGGAGATGAAGAATACAATTAACGAGATAAAAAATAATGCATAAAGCATAAAGAATAGAGCAGACCTAAGGCAAAGGAAACCATGAACAAAATGAAAAGACAACCCACCAACTGGGAGAAAAATATATGCAAATCACATATCCAACAAGGGGTTAATTTCCAAAATATATAAAGAACTCACACAACTCAACAACAAAAAAAACAAACAACCCAATCAAAAAATGGGCAGAGGATATGAACAAACACTTTTTTCCAAAGAAGATATACAGTTGGCCAACAGGCACACGAAAAGATGTTCGACATCACTAATTCTTAGGGAAATGCAAATCAAAACTACAATGAGATATCACCTCACACTCGTCAAAATGGCTAGAAATAACAAGACAAGAAATAACAAGCATTGGCAAGGATGTGGAAAAAAGAGAACCCTCATACACTGCTCGTGGGAATGCAAACTGGTAAACCACTATGGAAAACAATATGGAGAATTCTCAAAAAAATTAAAAATATAAATACCATATGATCCAGCTATCTCACTACTGGGTATTTATCCAAAGAACATGAAATCAACAATTCAAAGAGATTTATGCATCCCTATGTTCATTGCAGCATTATTCACAATAGCCAAGACACGGAAGCAATCCAAGTGCCCGTCAATGGATGAATGGATAAAGAAGATGTGGTATATATACACAATGGAATACTACTCAGCCATAAAAAAAGACAAAATCATCCCATTTGCAACAACATGGATGGACCTTGAGGGTATTATGCTAAGTGAAATAAGCCAGACAGAGAAAGACAAACACCATATGATTTCACTCATATGTGGAAGATAAACAAACACATGGATAAAGAGAATAGATTCGTGGTTACAGAGGGGAAGGGGGTGGAGGTAAAGGGGCACATATATATATGGTGACAGATAAAAACTAGACTATTGGTGGTGGACACAACAGAGTCTATACAGAAACTGATATATAATAATGTACACCTAAATTTACACAATATTATAAGCCAATATGGCCTCAATAAAATAATTAAAAAAAAAAAAATTAGGCCTTTTCAACTGTTTCAGAATTTATCAGTAACTAAGATGAGTTAACTCAGAAGAAACAGAAGTAGCAGGCATAAATAGTAAAATAAATCTGGTTTCTTAATAAATCAAAATATAGTCATATTACTTTTATACATTACATATAGGAAGAAATGTAAAATATTACATTTCTGAGAGTAACTGGGCATGATATATCACAATATGTAATGATACGTTAACATATTTTTTTGTGAAAATTCTACTTCTAGGAATTTAATCATAGTAAAAACCATAGAAATATACAGATATATTTACAAAAATGTAAAATTCCTAATGACATGAGTCATTATCTACAACATTGATTATCAGTAAAAAAGCCATAATGCAAAAGTATGGGCAATATGATCCCAATTTTAACAGATACAGATAGCCAAACAGATGTGTCTATGTTCATGACAGATATTGCCTGTAGTTTTCTTTTCTCATAATGTCTTTGTCTGGTTTTGGTATTAGGGTAATGCCAGACTCATAGAATCAGTTAAGAAGTATTCCCTCTGCTTCTATCCTTTGAAAGAGATTGTAGCGAATTGGTATAATTTCTTCCTTAAATGTCTGGTAGAGGGGCTGCCTGGTGATGTAGTGGTTAAGTTTACGCTTCAGCAGCTTGAGGTTCGCAGGTTCAGATCCTGGGTGTGGACCTACACACCACTCATCAAGCCATGCTGTGGCAGCATCCCATATACAAAGTAGAGGAAGATGGGCACAAATGTTAGCTCAGGGCCAACCTTCCTCAGCACAAAGAGGAAGATTGGCAACAGAGGTTAGCTCAGGGCCAATCTTCCTCACCAAAAAAAAAAAAAGTCTGGTAGAATTCACCAGTGAACCCATCTGGGCCTGGTGCTTTCTGTTTTGGAAGGTTATTAATTATTGATTCAATTTCTTGGATAGAGATAGGCCTATTCAGATTGTCTGTTGCCAAATAGATGTATACCAAAATGTTAAACTGTGGTCTTTAACTTTCTTTGTATTTTACTTATTCTCTAAGTTTTCTAAAATAAACATGATTATATTGTAATAGGAAAAATAATTGTTTTTTAAGTTGGCCATATCTAATTATTATAATTTGGTCAAACAAGACATGAAATAGGTTATAAATCACAAGCTTAAGAATTTTAAAAACAGTAAGAAAATAACCACAATTTCCAAACCAAGACAATGCAGATTTTTTTCCCCTAGAAAGCAAGCATTGCTTACATACTATACCTGGACAAGAAATGCTTCAGGGTCTCTTTGTGTTCCTTTCATTCCTAAGAGAGTAGAGAAAATCACTTTGATGTCGAAGTCTTCTCCCACTTCTACAGCACGTCCTTTTTGCTTTTCAGCAGCAATAAATGCACTCAGAAGTTTAGAATACTCTTTGAGATTAGTATAGGAGAATTTATATAGGGGAGTTAAACTATATAAAGTCCATTGTTTATGTAGAAGGAATGCAACCTTTTGAGGATCAACATCTTCCTAAAAAAAATCAAGACAAAAGAAGTTTAAGAATTAGGAAACATTAGTAAATAATTTAATCATAATAGTTTAAGTATTTAATTCAAACCTACAAACCTATTACTGGGTACCTGATCTTTGTACTCCAGCCAAACTGGAGTTTGCAGGACTCTTTGAAGATCCTTGAACAGGCCTTTGCATTTGCTGTACCTCCCTTTGGAATGCTCTTCCCACAGGTGTTCACATGGTATGTTCCTTTCCTTCATTCAGGTCTCTGCCCAATGTCACTTAAGATGCCACCCTACCCTAAAGCAGCACCTGTACCTACTCCAACTATGTCACTCTATATCTCCTTAACATGCTTTATTTTTTTCACAGCATTTACTACTATCTGACATTATATATTTGTCTGATTTTTATTGTCTGTCTTCCCTACTAGAGTAGGAGTTTGATGAGAACAGGGATTTTGTCTATTTTTTATTCACTACCACATCTCTAGCACCTAGCACAAAGCCAACAGGTGTTCAATAAATATTTATTGGATGAATATTTGTGTTTCAGTTTTAGAAACTTCAAATTATATATTTTAAAAATAGTAACTATTCCTGGAGCATCTAATTTGGTTTTAATTAAGTAAATTTTAAAATTGTTTGCAGTAAATCCACTCTGACACAGTGCCTAATTCAGTAGATTAAATAAAAAGATACTTGGAAATATTTTTGCCATGCTCTATTAGAACCACAGGTATCATCATTTGTATTGGCTCTAAGGCATTATTGAGGGTTGTCTCATACAGGCTCCCGGTTTTATCCTGAATTGAATTTTTTTCTATAGAATCCATACTTCCTGGTACAGTCTCACAGCTCCAACTATCTTTTGGAACTTTTACTACAGTTGTGTACTTGACAAAAATATTTGTTCTGATTAGAGTATTCAAGGAAACAGTTACACGCTTTTATTAAAAAGTTATACTATTTTTCATTACTATCAAAAGGTATGGCAAAATTATTTATATCATAGAGATAAGGAAGCATTGAATTGGACACTCCAATATTTAATTTATATACACTTTCTGTTTTCTGGTTAAGAACCATCACTTTTATTACCAGCACTAGTAATTTTTCTTTAAGAAAGTATTCACAAAGAAGTAAAAATTTTCTCATATCCCAAAAGATACTACGCACACATTGACAAGAAAACAAAGTTACAAGGAAGATGTGGGTGATGGTTCAGTCAGGCTCCTTGCTAAGTGACTTAAAATACACACCAAACTTGTATTGACCAGTTGTATTGTATTTCATGTTTCAGTAAAATTATAAATTACTAACATTATATACCTTCAGCGTTGTTTATGAATGGTCAAAACAGAGCATGTTGCCACCAGACAAATCTGAGACAATTTAAACACCAAAATAATTTAGTAATTAACTAGAAAAATTTGAAAAACAGGAATTCGTGAGTCCATACCAATAAATAGACAAATAAATAAATGGAGAAATAAGAAGGGCTTACAATAGAATGCCAAAGGCCGGTTAGTAAATATGGAGCGAATGGAGTCGGAAAACCATTATTTTGTAACCATCATAATAAAGATGGGATCAGGCAAAAATTATCAATGAATGTTAAATGATGGATATTAAGTGTTAGGGGAAATTTTGAAGAGGAATAGGATATTTGTATTATCTTAAAGTGTCTCCCCAAGACTGCTTACTAGTTGCAGAGGGGAATAAAAAAGTAATTACTGGGCAACACCTTGACAGGATGATCAAAATTAACATCACCTATGTGCTACCAGATGTTTTTCCCCACGAAGGACACAACACAACTATGCAGAACCCCAGCCAAGAACACATAACTTCAATCTAATCATGAGGAAACCTCAGACAAATACAAAATGAGGAATATTCTATTTAAAAAGGGGAGAGGAGGAAACCACGTTCTCCAAAAATGTCAATGTCATAAAAGACAAAGAAATATTGTGGGAATGTTCCAGATTAAAGGAGGTTAAAAGATACAACAGAGGAGGTACTGATAGTGTGAATAATTGTTTGTTTTAGCTGTTTCTCATTTATTTTATTACCTGAGGGATTAAGAAGATACTAAAAATACTATAAATACTATCAAAAATTGAAATGCTTTGTTCACAGATATTCTCAATTATTGAGTAACACAAAAGAACACAAGAAGCATACCTGCAACTGTGAACACTGGGGAATTTTCCTTCGAGGCGGAGTGGGGACAAATGAAGTCTGCCTCCTGACTGACTCTAATCGTTTCTGCAGAGGAGTGGCACCTATAAAGTAATCTTTAAGCCTTGAGGAGGCACTTTGTCTAGGAGTCGATTCTGGTGTATCACAAGAATCCATGGTCTACATAAAAAGATAATAAAAATAATAAAACCAGAATTCTGAACAGTAAAAAGTTAATTCATGCTCAGTTTCACTGATTCCACTCCTCCCTGTAAAGGAATTAGGTCTCTTTCTCCCTCACTCCCCCCACACACCCCCAGTTTTGACTTTTCAACCAAGTCCTGTATTTCTCATTGGCTATAGGCTATTTTTATGAATATCTTAGATACCTCAAACACAGTATTCTCAAAACTAAATTCAACTCCTTCCCATCCACCTCCTTCCAAAAGCTAGCTGGTCCATTTTCAAATTCCTGTCAATTTTCTAAGTTAATTTAAATTCATTTAAGTAGGCGCCCACTTATATTCTTTCACATGTAGTCACTAAGCACATTCAACCGTCCCTGTCATCCATTCTCAAAGCTACTTCCTTAGCCAGGTTCTTACTAGGATAACCAAGTGTTTTCTATATCTAAGGGTAATCTACTCTTCAGAAATGGCACTTTAATTAGTCACCTGTGCAAAAACTTTACAGTGATTAGATAACTTCTACTCTTCTGCCAGGTATTTAAGATCTTGCATAATTCAGCTTGTCCTTACCCTCCTACTTCTCCTACACGTAAACATATTCTTGTCTTCATGTTTTTGCCTATCAACTATATTCCCTATCTGAAGTGTCCTTTTTCCATTCCACCTCCTTTAAGGCCATGCTTGAATTTGATGCCCTTTCTAGTAGTAGAGTTCTGTTAACCGTTTTTCCCAGAACACTGATATTATACACTTCTGTCTGTATTAGCAGCTGATTCCTAGAACCAATGTGTGTGTGTGGCGGCGGGGGAGGGGGGGAGTAGAATGAGATCTCAGGAGTAAATATTTTGAAAAAGCCCAAAAACCCTCTAGATGAGTCTAACAAAATCCCTCAAAAGTGTTCTATAAAATCTTTGGAGATTAATAATAAACCAGCCTACACAGCTCTCCTCCATCACCTAGTCTGTACCACTCATTTTGGCCAGTATTCATATACTTCCTTGTATTATTTTCCTGGTGGGCATTTCTTCTCTTCCCAGCAAGACTAAACTACTTTGACTGAAACCATGCTTTATGTTTCTCTTGTATAATTACCATAATATAACACTGAGTGCTCTTTAATTGTTAAATAGTATTGGTTTAATTGAACAGAAGTATTTCATAGAACTCCAAAATTATAACTTTCACTGAAAGGAATTATGATTTAAAAGTTATAATAATTATTCCCAAGTACTGGCATAGTTACCCTTTTAAAAAAGTTTTTCACAAATGAAAAGTTATGTTTATTACTATATTTAAATTTCAATATGTCGGGCCGGCTCCGTGGCTTAGCGGTTGAGTGCGCGCGCTCTGATGCTGGCGGCCCGGGTTCGGGTCCCGGGCGTGCCCCGGGGCGCCACTTCTCCGTCCAACGCGAGGCCGGGTCCCACGTACAGCAACTGGAAGGATGTGAACCTATGACATACAACTGTCTACTGGGGCTTTGGGGGGAAAAAATGAATAAATAAAATCTTTAAAAAAAATAAATAAATAAATAAATTTCAATATGTCAAAGTAGAATACCCTCTATATCTTGCACAAAACTCCATAAATGAAACATATAGTTCTCAAAGCTCCGATAATGCCCAGAGCAAGTTCATGTACCATACAATTTAAATAGCAGCTACTCTAAAGCATTCTAGCTTCAAATGCATACTGAATTATCTACTTAAAAGGCAGTTTTAATCAGTCCCATCTACACAGAATGCTTCTTTCAAATTTGTTATTTGGAATAATTGCTAACATTTATCGACTATTCATCATGTGCCAGGTACTCTTCTAAGCCCTTAACAAATATTGTCTCATTTAATCCTCAAACAACCTCATGATGTGGGTTATTAGATTCTCAGTCGACAGATGGGAAGACAGAGAAGTTAAGCAACTTGCCAAAGTCATAGAGTTAAAGAGTACAAGAGCCAGGATTTGAATCCAGACAGTCTAACTCCAGAGCGTGGGCTCTTATCTACTTCTTCCACACTGCTTTTCAACAAGGACCAATTCCAAGGCAAAATAAGCCCTACGGAACTTGACTCCTTAAAAGAGAAATGTTATGAATTCCAAAAAGATTTTAAAGTCTATCTAGGTGAGAAAAAGACTATCAGCACTGAGAGGGTTGGTTTTGAGAAGACATTTCCCTTGAGTATTAATGTTAACAGTAATGTGAAATAGCCCAATCCATGCATTAAAGATCAGAAAATGATTTACACCTATTTTACCTTCTTGCTCCAAATTCCATAATGTGTAATTTTGCCCTGCTCAATAATTAAGAGGTTAAAAATATATCTTGACTCAATATTTTACTGTCCCAATATCATTCCTTCCAAGGAAAGAGGTCCTCCTCCTTGCTTTCTAAAGCTAACCCCTCAACCAATATTCTGGGTCCCCACATTCCTTCACATCTCCCTTGGACGCCACCTCCCATGTTTATTTCAAACCTCTATCATCTCTAACCTCTACTCTACAGGATACTTTTCTTCCACTGCCAAGCATATTCTAGTATTCCTAACACTAGAAATTTTTTGTTTAAATCCAATTCATCTCATTCCTTTTGAGACCAATCTCCTGGAAATGTGGTATACAACTACTGCCTCCACTTACTAATAAATATTTTATTGGAAATCTTCAGCAATCTCTCTTCTGTATCCATCACTATAAAGAAACTCCACTTTTGAAATTACCAACAACGTTTTTGCTAAAACCATGGCCAAATACTTGGTTCATCAAGTTCACTCATCCTTACTCCTCTAAACTTTCTGTTACCTTGTTTTTTCAGACATTCATTTTTTAGGGGTTTTTTCTCCTTCTTATTTCTTATAGTTCCTTCTGATTTATCTGCTGACTCCCGTTCTTCCTCCTATCCCAACAGTGGGTGTCTCCCCAGACTCTGAAATCTCTCATTCTCCATATGAAAACATTCATTCTACATATGACTCCTAAATCTCTATCTTCAGACCTTTGCACCAGCATTTCCAATTTCCTGGAGGACATTAAGCTTTTCGTGTCCTCAAACTCATTAAGTTCAAAGCTAAACATTATTTCACAACCAATCTCTCCTTTCCAACTACCCTGTTTCTCTCAGTAATAATTCTATTCTTCCTTCTCATTTTCTTCCCTGCCCCTTAAAATACACCTTAGTCATCTTTTACTCTCCCCTCCACTTCACTTTTACATCCAATTTATTATCAAATTCTCACATACTTCTTCAAAGGATACACACTAGCCCTCTCAGATTTGGCCTTCACTTCCATTCTTGATTACAGCCACCTATCTTGTTCCCAGTCTTAACTCCCTTCCCCAATCCATGACCAGTCTTTCCACAGACACCACTTTTACCTTGTCATTACCTTGCTTGAGATTCCGTAACAATTCCCACACATCTTTGAAATGAAGTCAGAACTTCTCTGTCTGGGTTTCAAGGCACTGCATTATCTATCTTATTATCTTATTCAGGTTCATTTCCTACTACTTCAGGAGTTCCTACTCCAAGATCCTTTCCAAATAGCCTTTCCAAAATCCAACAACGCTCCAAAGTTGTAAGCAAAACACTATATGCATGTGTATTTGGTGGGAGAGGAGGGTGAAAAAAAGTCCAGTAGACAATTTTTTAAAAGGTTAAGAACCACTGCCCTGCACCCAAACATGCACCCCCTACCCTAGAATGATCATCACCCTACTGCTCTTCACGTCTGTCATGTTTGCCTCTGCTCCCTGACTTTTTTTATTCAACCTATCGCCAATTAAGAATACATGTCTATTTCCATTTGTCCGACCAAATCCAATCCACCCCGCAGGCTTCACCTCCTCAGGAGGAGCTTTGCCATATCCATAGAGCTAGCTATGGATAGTATTCCTAACACCAAAAATTTTTTGTTTAAATCAACTTCATCTCATTCTTTGTGAAACCAATCCGCCAATTCCTCTTGCATTTATAGTTCATAACACACAATTACAACTTAGTTATTTTTCTTGTGGTAAGTCCATGAAGGAAGGGACCCTGACTTAAATCACTTTTCTACATTGCCACCAATACCTAAATCCAACCGCCCCAACACCAATGCTTAGCAGAGTGCTAAGCACGTAGTGTGAAACACACCTAAACACACAAGTATTGTAAAGATGATGAGCGTACAACAGGGCCAAATATAAAGTCTACTGCCAGTCCTGGATCAATACAAAGCATCTTACCAATAAAATGCCGTGATGACGCTGTCTCCCATTCCGGCCTCACGAATCGTTCTTCAAGTCTGCATCCAGAACTATGGCAGGACTGAAATCCCCTGAAGTAAAAAAGCCGCCAAAATGACAGCTACGAGAGAGTCCGGAGGAATCGCTGGCCCTCCCAAATTCCCTCTCGCTCCACAACAAGTGGGTTCCCGAGGGACACAAACCTGCTCAGTAAGGAGACCTCCGCTCCCTCCGACGCCAGGTGAGCCCTGCGACTTCACCCCAGGAGGGACATTTCCGCTGACCCAGCCACCCAGCTCTGCGACCCTCGTTCCTGCGGAGCTGGCTTCTGCTCGCGGTGGGGAAGGGCAGGGGGCAATTTGTCCCAACTCGCCCCTCTCCACCTGAGCCCTTCAGGGACCAAGGCCAGATCCGAAATCCCGCCGTTGAGAAGCGGCAATTCGACCCCCAGCGCCTCCTCAGTTTAAAATCGTTTCCCGACTCGCTCTGCGGCCCGACGCAGGAAGACTCCCTGGCGCCAGTTTCAAGTCAGTGAAGCAACTAGCGTCGCCATTTGAACTGAGGGCAAGGTCGAGCGACCTCTCCATCACCGTCCACTTTCCTAATTGCACGGTGTTCCTCTTCAGCGCTCTTCTTCCGGTGCTAAGCTTTCCTTCAAATTTCCGCCCGTAGTAAGCATGGCGGCAGCGCCTCTGCTCTGATTGGTTGAATGCCTACGCCGTATGTTGGGCGCTTTCGGGGGCGGGTTGAGGAGCGCTGGGCTCCCAGCGGCGGTGTGTGTATGGGCTCGGGTACTGAGGACGTTTTGGATTTGCTCACCTTCCTCCTTCTGAAGGCTCGAGTTCGGACGCCAAGCTTGGGAGGTTTGAAACGCGAGGCTGAGTTCCTCCCTGTTTTCCGGTTCTGCCCTCGGAGAAGCGTGGAAGGAAGGGAAGGGCGTGCGCCTGGTGACCGGCCCTTTCCGCCTCTGCGTGGTCACGGGCTCCCGCCTTGCGTTGCAATGTGGAATCGTTCTGCCGTAACTTTTGGCCACAGCTTTGTTTGTTAATAGAAGTGGAAAGCGATGCATTGAGAGAGAGGAAAAAGGTCTTACCCCTACCCACTCCCCAAGGGCCCCAAAGACCTTGCAGCTTTATCTAGTTTCTAGACGCGCGTACTTGAATGTTCAGCGGAGAAGGGCTTAAATATTGGGAAAGAGTGAGAACTCCTAGCATTTTAAGGGATTTGTATATTTCCAAAACTGACTTTTGACCACCGTCCAACGCCGGCAGCGTGGGATTCGTGAGCGTCTCTCGCCATCCTGCAGCTCCAACATGTTCTTCTATTGGTTAAGTCGGCTGTACAGGGGTTTATCCAGCCCCACCGGAAGGACCACCCCGCTGGTCTGGGGTTCTCTCTCCAGAAATCTGGTGCTGAGTTCACAGAGGAGAATTCCAGGTGAAGAGCCCTGTCCTCTCAACAGCACTTCCTCCTGTTCTCTACACCCAGAGGGCTCTTGTTCCATTTCCCCCTTAGTCTTAACTGGATAGCTTTATGTGTAGAAGCAGATCATTCACTCTCTTCATTTCTTATACATATGTGGTCTTTTCCCTGGACGTTAAAAAGACCAAAAAAGTAACCACGTGGGTAGGCTATTCTGCTTTTAGTTGATGCTGCTAAGAAGCCGCCTAAAAAATTCTTTCACACTTGAAAATACTTTGAATAGTGTTTTCTAGTGTTCAAGTGACTTTCCCTCTAGAGTCATATAAAGCCAGTTACTGCACCATCGAACTTCTATAATCCCTAAGATCCTATTTCATTTGGGGAAGAAATGTGCACTATTAAGAATACGGTAATTTTAGGTCAATGTAAATGCTAGATGATCAAAAAAATTAGATTTCCTAACACAAGGCAAAACTTGGCTTTGACACATTTGCAGGTAAATTTAATAGTGATTGAATCAAATTACATACTTCAACTTACTTTATAAATTTTATCCATTGACATGAAATACCTAAGATGGTGTGATTTGATAGTCTTTATTTTTAAAGCAGTTTGCAAATGATATATTTCTAATCTTACCTTTTTTTTCCTCCTCTTTTCTTTTTTTAAGAATTCAGTAGCTTTGTTGCCCGGACCAACACGTGTGGAGAATTGCGTTCTTCTCACTTAGGCCAGGAAGTGACCTTATGTGGATGGATTCAATACCGAAGGTAAATTAAGGCAGACAGTTTAAGAATGCATGGTGGGGGGCCGGCCCCATGGCTTAGCGGTTGGGTGCACACGCTCTGCAACTGGCGGCCTGGGTTCGGATCCCGGGCGTGCACCAATGCACCGCTTCTCTGGCCATGCTGAGGCCACGTCCCACATGCAGCAACTAGAAGGATGTGCAACTTTGACATACAACTATCTACTGGGGCTTTGGGGGAAAAAAAAAAAAGGAGGAGGAGGATTGGCAATATGTTAGCTCAGAGCCAGTCTTCCTCAGCAAAAAGAGGAGGATTAGCATGGATGTTAGCTCAGGGCTGATCTCCGCCCCCCCCCCAAAAAAAAGAATGTATGGTGGTTGGTTTCCTAAGACAGTTCCAAACCTTTGTTAATTTTCAACTGGTCAGAAAAATAAAAGCTTTGAAACTCCTGCAGGATTCTCAGAATTCATTGAATTTTCAGTTTTGTTTTTGTTTTGAAAGACACAAGTAGTGTCACTCTTAGTAAGGACCGGTAACATCTGTTGAAGGATATAATAATGAAGTGTGATCCAAATGGACTGAAATGTCCCTTGGCTTACTAAGGTTGAAGAGTTCCTGGGACCAGTAATTGGGAATGGGCCAGCTGGTAAGCTTTGATAGCATGAAAAAGCTTATTTTATTCTAAATTCAGGTGGACAAAAAGCCTAAAAACGTGAACAATGATTCCTTAAGATTATCTGAGCCCATTTTGTTGTTGTTGTTCATCTCTAAATTCCAGAATATACCTAAATAGTAAATTGATTCACAATGAAGAGATCCAAAATACATAGATTGTGTGGTCTTCCTAAAGAATATGTCCCAAATGGGTAGATATTTGACCCCTAAATTTGGTGACTTTATCTCCTAAACTCTACATCTGAGGAGGCTTTCTGTACTTCTTCGTGATACTAAGGACAGTATGAGAAATGTAGGTTAAATGCTGAAATGTTAGGATTTGGGGGACCTTTTGATGGTTTATAGAGGTATTAAATTAGTAGTTAAACCTCTTCTAGAAAATTTTAGATTATATTTTTTTTAGAAAGAGAAAAGACCTTATATTGCTAATTCCAAAAATGACCAAAAAGATGTTTTTAATATTCTAAAATATTACCTTTGGGTTTTAATATGTGGAAAGTTTCCAAATTTAATAAAATTTTCTTATAAAGCCTTAAGCCAAAGAAAATTAAAAATTAAAAAAAAATCTGCCTTTTCATTAATGAGCCATCGGGGTAACATTAGTAAGCTGTATATATAGCCAATAAAAATTGAATTTGAAAATGAAAAAAGTCTGTTTTTTCATTAATAGGCTACATAGGTAATTGCATGAGTGTAGCTAATGAAAGCACATAATTATTTATTATAAAAAAGGAACATGAGAAATTGCATGGGGTTTTTTGTTTGTTTAATTTCTTTTGCCTGCTTAAATTTTGGGCTCAGAGATTTTATCCTAACATGTTCATTTTCTTCATTAATCAGGCAAAACACCTTCCTGGTCCTAAGAGATTTCCACGGGCTTGTTCAAGTTGTCATTCCCCAGGATGAGGTAATAGAAGGGCGCCTACTGCTATCTGAAAGCCTCTTGGATGGCTGTGGTTAGAATAAGCTAAGTATGTTGGATAAGTATGTTTGAGGTTTTCAATTCAGAAGTTTATTGTTAGTAAAAACTGAAAACTACCATAAGCAACATTAAGACAAATGACAAACCAGGAAGAAATATGTGCAACTCATATCACAGACAAAGGGCTAATTTCTCTAATATCTAAAAGGCTACTACAAATCAAAAAAAAAAAGACCACTGACCCAGTAGAAATATGAACCCAGGATATGAACATAAAATTTACAGAAAAAAAAATATAAATGGCTTATAGGCATAGGAAAATATGCCCAACCTCACTCATAGGTAGAGAAATGTGAATTAAATCTACACAGAATTGTTATTTTTGAAACACTGGATTGACAACACCCTGTGTTTGGAAAAACAAGTGCTCATAGAGTCCTGGAGGGAGTACGAATTGGCACTAGCTCTATGGAGGGTAATTTGGCAATTTCAAAACTATAAATGCATATATCCTTTGAACCATTCATTCCCCTTCTAGTCAATTATCTTGCAATTATCTTACACCTAGACTTAACACAGATACAAAATGACATAAATACAAGGTTATTCATTGCAGGATTATTTTTAATAGAAAAAAATTGGGAATGACCTAGATGTTCCCCAATAAAAGACTGGTATAAAAAATAATATACATCCTTACACCGTAGAAAAAAGATTGAAGAAGCTCTTTATATTCTAATATGGAAAAAATCCAAGGTGTATTGTTAGATGAAAAAGCAGATACAGCAGAACATGTAGAGTGCTATTATCTCTAAAAACAAGGGCCTCTGTGTGTGTATCTTATGAAATGGACCTGGAAGAATCCATAAGTATCTGGCAACATTGGGTACCTCTGGGGAGGGGAACTAAGGGGCTGGAGGACAAGGATGGGAGGGAGACTTTTATATATTTGGGAGACTGTATATCTATTTGTACTCTTTGAAGTTTGAGCCATGTGAAGGTACTACCTGCTCAGAAAATAATTACCATTAAAATTAGGTAAAATAAAGAACTCTCGTCATGCATATTGGACAGCATTGGTTTCTGTTGTGATAGTGTTTACAAATGCTTGTGTGCTGAAGAAAAATATTATTTACTCAGCTCTTAGTGTTTGAAATAAGTAAAGAACAATGGATTATCTTTCAGGGACGGGATCCAGAGATGAGCATAGTTAACCCAGGAGCACTCCTTTCACTTTGGACTCCATTATAGCTATTGGATTTAACAGTCCCTAAGACTAACCCTGGAGACAGGTGCCTTTAAAGTATGTGGAATTTGTTTGCATTAAGTCATTCTTCTCCTTATTCTCCTTTAAGGAAAAAATTTTTAAACTCTTAGCTACTAATTTTACTTTCTGTGTTAGGTGGAGTCAAAATGGGGGTGCAATTTACCAAATTCTTTAATAAAGTCATTAAGGGCAGCCCCAGTATTTATGGCAATTAAGCTATGGGTATTAACATTTTTCTAAACCATAGACTACAGTTACTACAAATTCCTTTAAGTTCATTTGTTTCTTGGAACTGTTTTTCCATCTTATTTTGTAGTCAGCTGCTTCTGTGAAGAAGATTTTATGTGAAGCCCCTGTGGAATCTGTGGTGCAAGTGTCTGGGACAGTAATTTCCCGACCTCCAGGACAAGAGAATCCAGTTAGTAGTTTAGAGACTGTCTATGTACCTTTTACCTGTGTACATTTGCACTCTCTGTCTACACCTTCAGGCAACAGAGACTGAGCACCTGTTACATATCAGGCACTAAAGCTCCGTAGGGTCTATGAGTGAACCTACCCATTTCAAAATCTTCACTACAAGCATACACACCTAAACAAATATGCATGTTAAGACATTTGTTAACAAGCACATCAGCCACAGATTGCATAAGAATGTCAAAATCATGCAGACATTTATGCTTTAGACTGTATACTATAAGCACCCTCACATTTTACATATGTAAATAAATGGATGTGTTTTACAAATGTTCATCATGTACCTGTCCTGATGAGTGATTTTTAAAGTAAGTCTTTTCTCTCTCTCTCTTTAAGAAAATGCCAACAGGTGAGATTGAAATCAAAGTTAAAACAGCTGAACTTCTGAATTCCTGCAAGAAGCTGCCTTTTGAAATTAAAGACTTTGTGAAGGTACCATGCTCTGTTATTAATAAAATGGACTATCTAGAAAATGTTGATGACCAGGAAAATATTTTCAGAGTTTTTTAAAGAAAAAGTTTAACTTTTACAAAATTAAACATTTTATTATACAGTCACACGCCACATGATATTTCGGTCAACAACAGACCGCATATACAATGGTGGTCTCATAAGAGTAGTACCATATAGCCTAGGTGTGTAGTAGGCTATACCATCTAGGTTTGTGAAAGTACCCTCTATGATGTTCACACAATGACAAAATCGCCTAATGATGCATTTCTCAGAACATATCATTGTTATTAAGCAATGCGTGACTGTAGATGTGTCCTGAGTTGTTCTGTTTGCTCTGCAATTTCTTGGTGAACTGTTCTTAAATAGCAACAGTTCGTTAAGCTGTTGCAGTTCCTAAACACCTAGACTGTTTTTTCAGACAGCTTGAAACATGCTTCTGTCTTAAAGACTTGAAGTGTTATTTTGTTCAAGTTTTTTTGTTGCTATTGTTGTACATTTTGAAAGGAAATTATGTCTAGCTTGGAAATGGCCAGATAGCATAAGAGATTCTGCATCTATTAAGTCTCTAACAGTGATAAAATATTTGCTATACTTCCCAAGCATATAAATATGATTACCGTAATTTTTGTTTACCAAAGTTTGAGAGGTTGATGAGGTTGACAGCACAGGGTAAGTACACCCAGATAATTTTTAGCTTTGTTACAAGTATCTACAGTTGTAGACCTGTATATACCTAATTTGTAAACTGATCTATAAAGGGATTTTTTTTTTTAATAATTTTATTTATTTATTTATTTTTTCCCCCAAAGCCCCAGTAGATAGTTGTATGTCATAGTTGCACATCCTTCTAGTTGCTGTGTGTGGGACGTGGCCTCAGCATGGCCGGAGAAGCGCTACATCGGTGTGCGCCTGGGATCCGAACCCGGGCCGCCAGCAGTGGAGCGCACGCACTTAACTGCTAAGCCACAGGGCCGGCCCTAAAGTGATTTTTAAATTAATTGCGTAGCCACTTAGTCTTCCATTTAAGTTCCCAATACTTAATCTTTTTTTTTTTTTTTTTGTGAGGGAGATCAGCCCCATGCTAACATCTGCCAATCCTCCTCTTTTTTTGCAGAGGAAGACTGGCCCTGGGCTAACATCGTGCCCATCTTCCTCCACTTTATATGGGACGCCACCACAGCATGGCTTACCAAGCGGTATGTCGGTGCGGGCCCGGGATCTGAACCGGCGAATCCCGGGCCGCTGCAGTGGAGCGCATGCACTTAACCGCTTGCACCACCAGGCCAGCCCCTCAGTAGTTAATCTTTTAATTAGAAAAAGCAATATAATTACAGAGTTGACCTTGTTGTGAAAGGAGAAAAAGGAAATATACAATTTTCCCCCAGATAACCTTTCAGAAAGAGAAGTGATAGATAGTTCTTTTATTTCTATTTCTAGTCTCAAAGAAATAAAGTATTCCAGGGGAAAGGACTTTTTAAAAAAGTTGTCAGCATAAAAAATGAAAGTAGACCCTTACCTTACACCATACACAAAAATTAACTCCAAATGGATTAAAGACTTGAATGTAAGACCTGAAACTGTGAAACT